AAAAAAAAACAGTCATCGAAAATTTCTATTTCAAAACAAGTAATTTTGATTTCATCGACAACTATTTATAAGCGCACATAAAGTTTGTCGCTTAGAGCTCCATACAATTTTTAAGCGCAGATACGTATGCGTGCGCCTATTGCCTCATTAGATCACTCGTTGTATTTATTACGTTTTTAGTCAGTTGCTTTCTTCCGGGTCTTACGCTAATTTTTAGCGAAAGCCTTTTTGCGCGCTTTCACTGTCAAGCTTTCACCTTTTACTAAAACCGCATATATTTTATGACTGACTGAAATAAAGCGCTTAGTTGTTTCACCATATGTTTTAATATTTATTGCTTGTTGTTTTTTTTTTATATTGTTGAAAACGCTTTAGTCCAAACTTTCACTCAGTCGAAGCGTCCTGAACAGATAATTAAGTTAAAACTTTCACTAGCGCTATAGGTATATTATATGATTCGAGAAATGTTGAAACCGTGCTTGCACATTTCTGAATCAATGGACGCTTTCATAAAAACTTGCCTCCAAACATTTATTGTTTTTCTAGGCAGTTGTCTTTTATCTATCTTTAACACTAATATTCTTGAGTAAGCTTTTTTGACGGCTTTTACGGGCAACCTTTCACGTATTACCACAACTACATTTTATAATAATTGACTGATATCAAATGCTTAGTTATTTCACCAACTTTTGTAATATCTATTGCTTGTTGTCTTGTTATGCTGTCGTATTGCTTTTGTGCAAACTTTCAGTTATTTAGTTTATATTTTCAGCGATTTCACAATATTTTGCAATACTTACTGCTTGCTGTTTTTTATATTATTGGAATGGCTTTCGGCCAAACTTTCACCTACTTTAAGTTTCCTTAACAAAATCTTAAGTGAAAACATTCACTATTTATATTTTTTAACTCGAAAATATCGAATTTTTGAAGATTACTACATATATATAAAGTTATCAGCAAAGGTTTTTCTAAAAAAAAAAAAAAAATATTTATTTATTAACACCACAAAAGTATTTTGATACGTTGGTTTAATTGCATTGTCTGCGATTTTTAATCATTTCTTATTTCACTTTTATCGTTATATTTTTGTTTTAGTATTTTTAAATGTTCCTCACTTATTCCCATTATCTTCGATTAAAATTTGTATTTGTATTTTATTCGCACATACATACTTATATTTTCACTTTTTGTTCATAAATCAAAGAGATTTCGTCGAAAATTTCGCATTCTCATTTCATTTTTTTTTCGCATTCGTAATTTCGTATTTATGCTTTTGCTATTCAATAATAAAAAGCTTCAATTAAGGATTCTCATCAAAATACCATTTCAAAGTGTGCTAGAAAAAATCCCAATAGCTTTCGTTATTCCTGCTTAAGTGTCCTACTTAAGAAACTCGTAAAACTAATTTTCTCTAATACGCTGTTCAATCACAATGCTATCTTTAACCCCGCCCCAAATCGCTTTTCACACGCGCTCCATCATCGTTGTCGTTGCCTTATTAGTGCCGTTGCCCGTACTCATGCGATAATATCGCCGCAAAATCTCCGCTAATTCCGCTGTTAAACGTTCCGCGCGACTTAACCTTTTATTTTTCGCCTCGAGTTCACTGCCATAGGGCGGCTGCTCTTGCAGCGGCGCCAGCGGTGTGGTAACAATTACCGGCAATGTGGTGGTTGTAGGTGACGGTAATAGCCGATGTACTGTTGGTATTTTCGGTGCTGAACGTAGAATTTTCACTTTGCTGCGTGTGCCCGTCTGCTGCTGTTGTTGTAGTTGATGCACGTTCGCGTCCTTTTCCTGCGCCTGCTGCTCCTTAGTCAATAGGCGCGCACTAGCACTGCTAGCAGCTGGCGCTGGCAGAAGAGCTGGTCGCGTTGGACGCATACGCTCGAGTGGCTCTATTTCGGCCACGGTGGCCATCGATGTGGCTGCTGAGGGTGCCTCAGACTCGGCCGCCTTGCTGCCCGACTGCTTCATGTCGGTAAGTATTTTACGTTCCCAACGCTTACACAACATGTACGCGTACATGCAGAGAAAGTAGACGAAGATGAAAGTGAATGCAGCAATGCCATAGAAGCCCAATTTCTTGCGTGTCCATTTGCCGCGACGCATCCATTTGATGTCCTCCAAATACTTGGCAATCACCGGCACAATAACAAACCAATAAATCAACACTGTGGCGACTTGTATGGCGCGACGGAGAAACATTTTGCGCAGTTCATTTATGTTGGCAATAAGTTTTGCAATTTTCGATCTTTTTGTTTGACTTTTACCTTTTAAATCACTAACTTTTTCGCTTTTCGTAATTTCGTTAACGCGCGCGCTATTTGGCATCACTTCTAGCCGCACTGCACCAGCAAGTTGTTGTGCTATTGGCCGCGTCAGTTTACATATTAAACTGGCTAGCTGATTGCGATTTGTTGACTGAGCGGCACAACATTCGATCGTTACGAATGCGCGCACGCTCGCCACACGCCACAGCGAAATACCACAAGCGCCGATCGATCAGCTATCAACTGTCCGTCTGTTGTCATCATCAACAGCTGAGCCACCCAGTTACTGGGGGGCGATCAGTCGGTGCCGCAAGACGGTCAAACGATTGCTCCATCGATTGACACTTACACAAACGTTGCGGCACACACACACACACACACACACACACACACAGATACATAGACTCACATATAGCTGGTGGCATTTTTCGTAAGCTAATCGCTTTTGCACAACTTTGCAATTACTCATGCCACAACAACAACTCGTTTAAGCTACTGCGCGCGCTTCATGCGCTTTGGTAGCTTTAGCTATGCCATGCAGTGCTAAGTATGCGTAACTGAGCCTTTAGGCTTTTAGATTTTTAAATCTATTTGCCTTCATTGTGATGTCAAATATGAGTAGATATATGTAATTATGTAAATAAAACTCCGATTGTACCACAGCCTGCATATTAAATCTCACCACCTCTCTGCCACCTCGTCGCTCTCATCAACACAAATGTCGTCATCCTCACTGTCTTCGCTATTTATTTTGCCGCTTTCGCTTGCGTCTTCTTTTGTGTCATTTCTTTTGTTTGTTTGCAAATTTTTTCGATTTGAATTGTAAGTTAGATGGTTCATTGGCGCCTAAAGCATTTTCAATGCTGGCACGCAATCGCACAAATATGTCAACATTGAGATTAATATGGATGAGTGTTATTTGTGCATATTGTTGTTATTGTTGTGCGAGATTGCAGGAAACGCATTACAAGTGCGTAGAAAACTTGTACTTCAAATGCGGTTAAACAAATGCATAGATATCGCAAGCAACGCACAGAAGCTCAAAACAGACGCATTGGAATTTTTGTTGATTCACGAATGATGGGTTGCAGTTCAAGTTCCGTTGTAGCTTCTGGAAATAGAGGCAATAAGTAATAAAGTTGAATTGAATTTGAATTAAATTTTATGTTATTCCCATACAAATAGGGCTCGATCCTAACCGCCAAAGAGACGTAAACTTATTTTTTTTAATTTTTTTTTTTTCGATGCAGAAATGCATCTGGATGCTCTAGGACAATTTTTGCATCAAAAAGAAAATTTTGAAAAAAATATCGTTAACGTGTTTTTGCCGGTTAGGTTTCGATATAAATATTTAGCACTCATATATTTGTCAAGTGTTTGGCCACAATGCCTTTTCACGATATATCGAAGATCTGTAAGATGACCGCCATTAGAAAATTAAGGAATTTACTATGGCTCGAACAGGAGTTAAACCTAGGACTTACCGAAACTTATTAACTGGCCTCAGAAGGCTCCTGAGATGTTCCAAAGAAGTAAATTTTTCTGTATACCTGGGCCTACCTATGCGAATTCATCCAAATGTGGAGACAACTAAGCTGCCTAACTTCTTGAAAGCAGGCTAGATTAGGCTGGATAGCCACTGCGGTCCTCCGCGAAGACCATTAAGTAGGGTCCACAGTCATTCACTAGTTGTGATCTAACAGAGGCTCCCCGAGAAGATATTCACCTGCGTTCTCGTGGATACATTGTCTTTGATGTACCTAACTGCCTCCTTAATTGCAAACGTTTCGGCCTGGAAAACGCTTGCATAGTCTGGTACGCGAAAGTATAACTTTAGGTTATATTGCTCAATGAAAGTCCCTTGAAGATCTGGACCTGGTGCGGAGTTTGTGGTGAACTCAGGTCTTCAACAGGATATATTCGGTGACCAGTGCTTTAAATTCAGGCGGTAATGCATCTAGGATGGAACCGTGCTCGAACGATCTTTCCATCCAGAGCTCCAAAGAACGCAGTCTGGTGGCACTGTTGGCAGATGAGTTTTTAATAAAAATATCTATGGATAATAAGTCAAGCGTGACGTTCAAAACATCCTTTCGCTTAGCTTTTTATCTATGTAATCATTATTAATAGCTGGCCACCAGGCCAACGCCCCTTTAAAGAGTATGGGCCGGACTCTGTATAGCTGGGTATATCGAGTGCACAATTCTTGGTTTCAAACCCCACCTGTTGCCTAGCGTTGTCTAGGCTGCATAGAGAGCCATCGTGGCATGCCTTGCACTCTCTTCGATGTTTGACTTCCAGTTAAGTTTGAGATCCAGAAAAGCTCCAAAGTATTTCACCTTGTTTGACAGATCCTGTTCCGTTCCTCGGAATCTTGGCTTGGTAAAATTAGGTAATTTTGTTTTATTTGTGAAAAGCATAAGGTCAGTTTTCTCAGAGTTTACGCTAAAAGAACAGCCTATTGCTCAGGAATATACCGTCTTCAGAGCCCTTTCCACAATTTCACTTATGACCGAAGGAAACTCAACTAATACCAGTATTACAGTAAGCCACTGCCTTGATTCTCTTGGGGTCTAGCTTTACCAGTCGTTTGTTTAAGACCATGAGCCATAATAACGGTAATAGCACTCCTCCCTGTGGGGTGCCTATCACTTCATGTTCGGTCTTGCTTCTGTTACGTAATTCGGCGTGTATTGCTCTATTTATATCAAAGTCCGGACGCAGTGCAGAAAAAAATATACGCCTATTTTTTTATTTTAAAATCAATAAAAATTCAGAGGTCACTGAAAGCGCGAGAAAGTTTTCCATGTATTTTATATGGGAAAACCCCGCTTTTCGTAGAAATGATATAGAATTTTTAAAAATACATATTTTTCAACCGGAAAACTCTTATTCTCGGCAGAAGGTTCCCAGTAATAATACCAAATTTTTTCATGGTAACTATAATTTATAGGTCCGTCAAAAACCCCTAAAAACTCACAAAAATGTAATAGGAGGACCAATAAAAAATCGTTAGTATTAAAAAGGGGTTAAATAAACAATTGGGTATTATTGAAAGTGTCCTGAAGAGAACCAGTGTTTACCGATCGAAAAATATTGATTTTCAAGAGCTCTCTACCATTTCCACGAAAATTTTTTTTCCCCCATAGAAAATACATGGAATTTTTGAGCGCTTTGAGCGACCTCTAAATATTTTTTAATTTCAATATAAAAAAGTTGGGGTATACTTTTTCGATATAGAACACTCCTAGGGGCCGAATTAAAGTTCTGACTTTACTCTTTTTTTTGGTTCACCCTAATATATATAGACACTACACGGAGACCCTAAGCCCTGCCCGGAAATAACATGTTTATTCCGCACTGGAGAACAATTTATTTTTATTTCGAAAACGGCCTCAAAAAAGAGTCAAATAAAACCCGAAAAATTCCAAAATTTACAGCAAAAAAAAGACAAATTTTAAATTCACTTAATGGTACCGTTAGTTGTCTGATCGCATAAATCCTATAGGATATACATGCTAGATCCGAGAAAATTTCAAACCGTTCCAAAAAATTACGAATAATTTCTTTGTCAGTTTTATAATGGCGATTAATATTAATTTCAATATTATTACAGAGCTGTGTATCACGATTTTGTTTAACAAAAAAAACGTGTTTTTATAAATGCCTATAAAACGCTAAAATTACTGGCTAATTTGTGCTTAAAAATAAAAGTACCTGAAGAATCCATAAAGTTTATAATAAAAACAAAACGATTGAAAGGTTTCAAAAATAAAAAATAAAAAATATTCCACAATTTAAGAAAAAATCCGAAATACCTCTAATAAAGCTCGAAAAATTCTCAAAGCGCCGCGGTAAAATAATTAAAAAATCTCCAAAATGTATTGGCGCTGAAGGAATCCCGAAAAGTCGCAAAAAATACTACATTAATCCCGAAAAACTTTCAATCAAAAAATCTCGAAAAATACGATCATTTCATTTTCTTATAAACTCCAAAAAAAAAAAACACAGAAATTAGCGACAACAATCTGCTGAACCATTTTAAGCAAATTTTGCATTTACTTTTTGATAATGAAATAACAAGAAATACATAGCGAGCGTTCTTACCCAACATACTTAAAATAGAAAAAATAAAAAATGATTTCATTTTCTGCAATGTGAGGATTTTAAAAAAAAATATTTGGCGCCTATTCTGTATACTCTAGTTTTTGGGTGATATTCCAAATATTAAATTCTATCCAAGTTTATACAAAAAAATCACGATGGAAAAAGCTTTTGATCGTACTCAGGCGCTGATCGAATTTCTTATTTCTATAAGCTGTTTGATCATCTTGGTATAACATTTTCATTTCGTACAAACATCGGACCAAAATTAGAATACCATTTCCATCTTTACGGAAGTTATGAAAACGATTGATTCGCATAATTTCCTTGCAATTTACGTTAATGAGCCAATTCAATGTGCTTTTACGATGATTTTTTTATTTATTTGGTAATTATCATGAAAAATATTCAACGAAAATTTGAATAATTACCAACAAAATGATTAGCGCGTTCCAATGCTGTGCTTGAATAGCTATTTTGTCACTATGACTTGTAACTCCATGTACATTCTATTGTGCTTATGTACTCGTATGTACATATATAAAAATGTATCTGCTATAAGTGTAGTGCTAAAAATTGCATTGAATTGTTGTCGACGTGACTGCGACACCATCGGCCCAACTGCACTTTGCATACATTTCGTAGATACATAAATCGGCTAACACACACACTCTCCTAGGCGCGCACACAGCCGCACACATTTGCGCTTAAACTATTTAATTTTGTTTACTTATTGCACGTTTGACAGACAGCTTGACTTGTAAACTTGCTGTACGGGTTAAAGCGTTTCGAGCATTTAGGCGATTAAATTTTTACATACATTCCCATTGACACGTGTTCGATTAATATGTCTACGTGCATACATAGGTATTTATGTACATTTGTACATACTATTTAAATATGCGTGTTTGTGTGTGTGTTTGTATGCGCGGACTTATATGTATGCATATTATTTACCAATAAGTTGTTGTTGTTAAAATCTTTAATGCAAACAATCATTATTTTAATTAGCATTTTTTCTCTATTCATTTTGTTTTTATTTATTTTTTCTGATTTTTTTTTTAGTGTTTTTGTTGTTGCCGTTTTTTGTTTGTGC